ACCAAACTATTAAATGCGTTATTTGCATAATATGAATATATTATTACATACTTATACATATGAACACATACATACATACTTATATGTACTGTGGAAATGCAATAGCAACCGACGCAAAATCGATTTAAACTATTTAAAAACACAAATATGAAAACTATATCTGCTATCTAGCTAATAAGCGTTGTGCGTTCTCTTCATAGGCGTTGGGAAGCTCAAATATTATTTCAGGCATTTTCCGCTCTATTTGATATTGGGAATAACCAATTTGGTTTCAAAGCAATTAAAATTCTAAATAACGAAATTCCAAACGTCAAAACAATTAAATATTGTGTATCAATTTTCTGGAAAAATGTTATAAAAACAAGTGAAATTAGGCAAAGAATTCAGTTCCTTTCAAACAAAGTGACTGGAAGTGCAAAATATTTCGGAAAAATTTATAAAGTGAAAATCAAAAATAATTCCAAAAAATTTACGAAAAAATTCGACTTTATTTTTTTAAGAATATTGTAATCTAAATGTAAGTAATAAAGGAATATAAAATATTATATATAAGTTCTACATCTAGTAAGTATATATGGTAGTGCCGTGAATGTATATGAACTTGACAGAATATAGAGAAATGACAGCCAGAACTAAAGATCCAAAAGTTGTTTTTTTTTTTTTTTTGTTTTTGCCCTGCTATAGACGCATTCATTTTGTGTAGTAGAAGGGCATTCTTCTTCTTTACTGGCGTAGACACCGCCAGCACACCAGTCCTTCCTTCTTTTCGCAACGTGGCGCCAATTGGAAATGCCAGGTCCTTCTCCACTTGGTCTTTCCAACGGAGTGGAGGTCTTCTTCGTCCCCTGCTTCCCCCGGCGCGTACTGCGTCGAATATGTTTACATGACCTAGGCATCGCTGTCTCTTAATTGGTTGAACTATGTCAATGCCGTGATATATCTCATTCAGCTCATCGTTCCATCGAATGGCATCGTAGTCAACGCGCAAAGGACCATAAATCCTCCGCAGACCCTTTCTCTCAAAAACCCCTAACGTCGACTCACCAGATGTTGCCATCGTCCATGCCTCTACACCATATCAAAGACGAGAACAATTTTTCGTTCGTCGAGAGAGCACTTTACTTCTCAAATTCCTACTCAGTCCAAAGTAACACTTATTGGGTTATTCTGCGATAGACTGCCTATCTCACTACGTTACGATCGACCACAACACGTGCGGAATAGGATAACCAGGGGTAATGCTCGAAAATTCTACGAAAAAATGCGGCGACTAATAGAAAGTTCCAAGACCGGAGCATACTCTTGTGGAACCCCCCGAGGTGATGTAGTAACGAATGACCAGAGCATACTAAAATTATATAGGGGACACTTCTCCAGCCTGCTCAAAGGCAGTAATAGCAAAAAGCCCGGAGAAGGTGAACCCGATTCCCCAATCGATGACGATGGAGCAAATATTCCATTGCCCGACCATGAAGAAGTGCAAATTACCCGCCTGAAGAATTGCCGTCCGTGCTATTCAAACACATCATCTGCTATTTATTTGGCATCTAGTGTAGCTTTATACTATTATGTACTTAAGAATCTCTTTATAACCATGACTTAGTTATATTTTAAAAGTTATATCTTGATATGGAGTCGTTTTCCAAATCTTAACAATTTCCGCTTTATTAGGAATCAGAGGATGAACAATATCATGACGACTCTAATGTTTGGTATACTAAACACCGACAGTGTTCAAATGCAAAAGTAAAAGTCCAAATATAGATAACGACTTGCGTGCTTTGCTTTCTAATCACCGACGATGCATTTTGACCAAATAAAATGCGGCGCTTTTGACGTAAATATAAACGTAAGCCGCCGTGCATTACATCTAACGTGGATCCAGTGCGCTCGCGGTCGCGACATGTGCATACGACGAACAGGTTTGAGGCGAATTCAAACTCAACCGGCAACAGTAATAAACACACTTTAATACACCGTCACAAGAATGCACACACACACAAACACACAGGTGCATGATTACAGTTAGGCGCTCAGATGCTGGCTGCAAACGCGTATCGCCTGCTGCGAAAATAGTCAGCTGTTTGCGTGCATACTATTATACCAAAGACTTGTAAGCAACTACTTTAGTCTGTTGTTGTTGCAACTGTAGAAGCGAACGTGACTTGAACGCTCATTGTACTATTTTTAGTCGTTTCAAGCTGACTCAAGCCTACTCCGCACCGGTTTATCACTACAGCAAGTACTTTGTATGGCAATAGCGACTGGTGTAAATGTACAAAAACAACAGCAAATATAATGGAAACGTTCGAACTGTTATTGAAAGAAGGTGAAGCGCTTTTCCAGTTGACTGCAACGCTTAAATGCGGAAAAGAAAGCTGATGCAACAATAGGTCGCCATAATGAACAGCATTAGACCCGAAGAAAAATATTCATACAGGCATCTGCTACCTTAAAAAGGGATGTGGCGAAAGAGAGAGAGTTTGTGTAGGGTAGGATATTAAGCTCCGGAATTCATTAATGGGTAGTGATTACTCGAACTCAGTATTTACATACACATACATATGTATTTCAAACTGTATTGTTAATTCTATTAGAATCCCTTAATACATACACTTAATCTCTTACTGCTTTTAAGTCGACAAAAAACTGATCACTTGAAATTTGCATATAAATCAGGCGTCTGTGCTGTCGAGCACCTCTTTGGAATCAGGCGATGACATAAACCGCTTCCTCTATTACTGTTTTCCAACAATATTTGCCGGCATATTTTAATGTGCACTTAACTATTGCATGAAATATGCATATATAGTACTTCCTGCGTTACAGCGAACCATGCCACGGCGCTGGATGTGTAGACAGATGCCGTAGACCAAAGAATAGAATAAAAGTGCCAAAAGTAACTGGTTGCAAAGTATGCTAGTATGAAACTATATGATCGTTTTTCTTTTTCCCAAACAAATAACAGTTAGCTTTAATCGGCTTCTTTGAGGCATCAAGTGTCGGATAGCAGTTAGAAACATGTTCTCTAATTCAAAATAGACAGTTATAAAGCAAATAATCAAAAATCATAAATGGTTCAAGCCTAGTCTATTCGGCACTAGTTTATTTGCTGTTCGAAATTTTCAGTTAGAAACTAGTCTGACCAATAAATATCAGTAAACAATTTCTTATGTTAAACGATAGTTTTGTCTAAGTAGTTTTTTGCTCCCTACGATGTGTCTATACATATGTATATACGTACATGTGTATTACTATCCAGTGAAGAGTTTATAAATTTTATGCACATATTAAAGTAGGTAATCAATATTCAAATATTTGGATTATTTAGTCACGTTCTAATTTACTGTGTTCAAGTTCGGCATTCTGTGATAGTAAAAATAAAATTTGTGCAAGGAAAATCTGGTATAAAAATAATTATACTCGTATAAGAAAGATGAAGGTTTTTTTGGAATACTTATAAGCAATAAATGGTAAGACTTTATTCCTGATTTTAAAATTCTTAAATTGTTCTTCGAAATCTCAGTCGTCCCCCTCAAAGTAATCCTCCTTGGCTCCAATACACTTATGTCAAGGCTTTTTCCCATCCTCGAGAATGTTGTCAAAGTCAGTTTCCGGAATAGCCTTCAATGTAAATGGCGATTTATGTTACTGCCAATTGACTCAGAAGTCACACGGAGCTACATCAGGTGAATACAGTGGTTGCGACGAAATATTGCTTCAAAATTCAGCAAAAAACGCACGAGGAATCAACGCAGAATGCGACGGTGAATTATTATGGTGTAAAATTAAACAGTTGTCGGCCCATAATTGCGGCCTCTAGTATTCCTTGTTAAAAGTTTGGTTCGTCGGAAGGAATTCGGATACTCGATAATCGAAAAAGAAACTTTCAGCACAACCTTGATATTTTACCTACTTTGAGGAGTTTTTTTTTGTTTTTTTGGTTTCAACTTACCTTTGCCACGATGAGCCGATTGATTTTCTGCTTCCAGGTCATAAGCTTGGTTCCAAGATTCATTGGCAGTGATAATACATTTCATGACATCCTGTTAGTCGGAAAGCATTATTTCATAGAAATTAACGCGACGCTATTTATCGAAAAAAATTAGTGATTTTTGAACCAATCGTGCTTTCACTAATCTTAGGCTCAAATAATCTTTCTAAATGGTTTTCAATTCCCTCCTTCCCATATTCCAACGACGCCAGTAAGATCTCTGACTGTTAATCGTCGATTCCGAAGCACCATTTTATTTATTTTATTGACGTTGTGATCATCAGTTGAAGGCCTTTCCCAACATTCTGAAAGTTTCGACACCAAAAATTATATTATATTCCACGCACAAAATTTAACGGAACTTCTTTGTTGAATGTTTATGTACTGGCACAGATCATAACAGACATTCATAAAAACCCAAAGAAAAATATTTCAATGAACTGGTCTTATTATTTTTTGTCCAGTATATATTAGGAAGTCGAAAAAGTCTTTGCAAAAAAGCTTTTCATCTTTGCTCCAAAAAACTGAGCATTGACCACGCCCTCTTTATAAGTTCTCAGTTTTATTTGTTAAAAAACATTAAAGAAGTTTTACAAACTTCATAATTTTTCTTATCAGATAGTACTAAAAATATGAATAACTCGATAAATTAAAGCTCACAATTACACATGTTGAAATCAGAATAGCTGAGCACGTTGGCCAACAAGCCCTACAACTACTTCATACCTTTATAGACTTGTTACATAAACGAGTGTATGCAAGTGTATTCATTTAATTAAGCTGGTTTCTCGGTCAGAAAGTATTCTAGTTTTCACGTAACGGCGAATTTGCCATAAAAAAGTGTAAGAAACGTGCGAGCGCTTTGCTACGCAGCGAATTGCGACAACCGCTCGCCGAGCCAAAACAAGTCCAACCTCATCAGCAAATGAGTTGTGCGCTACGTGACGCTGCCAGGTAGTTGTGTCGTACCAGCCGAACGACCAGGTAATCAGGCGGTCCAAGGCAGACGATTACAGCGAGAAGTGTGCGCGCACGCGTACCTCACCGACTAGTCACCGTTCGCTCGCCTGTTCGCTCATTTGGCGCCTTTCCTGCCGCGTGCGTGTCGTTGTCCACTGTAGCGGGGGGCGGTCCGGCGCCGCACCACACATTTCGCCTACTTGGGGCTTGGCGTATATTTCAGTCTCTGTGAAACACGTTTGCGCATTCAGTTGCGAATTTAATTTAAGCCGAAGCGGTGCTCGTTGCCACTCACTGCTTTCAGTCGCTTTCGATTGACTGTTTTCGAATTTCAATTTTGTACTTAACTAACTTTATTTTGTTTTGTTTTGCAACACCATGCAATTGAATAATAAAATTTGAGTAGTTTTGAGTGGAATTTGCGGTCGCATAAATTATTTGTTTGATGTCCAGCAAAAACAAAATAACAACCAGCTGATTGCCACTACACGCGGTGTAATTTACGGTGTCGTTGAGCTAAAACAAATAAATAAATCGAGAAAATAAACGAAATGGGACAGATTTAGATGTGAAAATCGACATTTGAACGTTTTGGAGAGCGAAAACAGCTGCTCACGTTAAGCCAACAGCTCACCGGTTGCCGCCTTTCACCATTTCTCGCTTAAGTGATTTGTGTACTTATGAGTCCAGGCGACGGGTTTCGATTGTAAATAAATACCGTTTATATCAGAAAGCGCTTAAAAGCCGATTAACTGTAAATTTTAAATTTCGGTTGTTTTTGCTGTGTGTGTGCTTAAGTTGTGTTGCAGTTTTGTTGAAAAGTAAATCGCGAAACTATTCCCTTTCTAACCAACTTCCAGCACGAATATCAAAAGCCAGCAACAACATGTTTAATCCGCGAAGCCAACTAGATAAGGTAAGTTGCAATTCATTGTGGCTTCTAGCTTTCAAACTCACTGATTATGCGATATTTGATCAAAGTATTTGTACTAACTTCGCACCAATTCCACGCAAACGCAACTTCGGGCTTCGCTAAGCAACGTGTTCTTGACTGTGCGTGAATAAAAGCCCTCTAGGAACTATTTGCAATAGAATTTTAGAATTTTAGAAAGTTCGGTTTTTGTGGGTCATTTACTGATTTTTTGAATATAAAGTGATTGGTGCAAGAGTTTTCAACGAAGGATTAAAGAAAAGTGCTTAAATATTTGTCAAAAATAAGTTTTTCTTTCATAAATTACTAAGTCAGGACTAATTCTTTTAAGTACACAAAGCTTAACACTCAGTGAAGTCAGCGAGCAACAAAAGTTGTAAGGTGGATTTAAAATTTGAGAGAAATACATAGCCACATTAAAATACCATACATTTTTAGTAATATCGAAGAAAAGTTTTCGGGCGAAATTCGCACGAAAGCTAAAAAAAAATATGACCAAAATAAGTTTAATCTAAACAATCTTGGGTTGTCGAAAAAGTCTTTTCGTATTTCTAATAAAACTTAAAATTTTCTTATATTTATAATAAACTTGAATGAACCAAATATGTACCATTTTGGGAATTTTCACAGGCTTCTCCTGAAATCAACTTTTCTCCATTAAAGGTGCAAGGTCAGGGCTATATGGTGGGTGCATTAAAACTTCGCAGCCAAGCTCTCCCTGTTTTTGCGGAGTCATCAAAAATGTGTGTGTCCTGATGGAAGACGAAGCCCTTTCTGTTGATCAGTTCTAATCGTTTTTTTTTTCCGCTTGCTTCAATCTCATTAGTTGTTGACAGTAAAATGTAGATTCATGTGGTACCCAGACATCGAGTTTCTTTTGCTTTATGACGGTCCTGTCCAATATTTTCCAAAATTTCATAGACTTTTTCAACGATACGTCGACCAGAGCTATGTGCATCTTTTACATCGAAATTTCCAGAATGGAAGCGAGCGAACTCCAACGAATTTCGATGGTGGCTTGCATGACATTCATGCTTTTATGTAAAAGAATTTCAAAATTTGCGAATTTCTTAATTTTTGAACGGCTAAATTTGAGCTTAACCGAAATTTTTTGTTTAAATGAAGCTTATATTCTCACCTTTCCAACATTGTAAGGTGTGACACAATGTTACTGGTAGCACTGAAGATATACGGCTACAACGGCATCTTTTGATAAAATACGAAAATACTTTTTCGAATACCAATATTTTTAGTGAATCAATTAGGGTGGGGATTTTTTAGACTTTATTTTAGGTGGTTATCCATAATCTAATGTAAAGGATTTATTTCTAAATTTAATTACAGGTAAACTTAAACAAACTTACGCCTCGAAAGGCTAGTTTAAATTTACTTCGAATTAAATTTAGTAACAAAAAATTTTTAAGACACCCAGTAGAGCTCTTTCTGGGAACGTCTGGACAAATCTCATAAGGTTTTAGGCGTTTCAGCTTGTTTGGTAGACTTTTTGAAAGCTTTTTCTTGACAAAACTATAATTTTCTCTTTACCGAGTTACGATTATACGAACAAAAGATATAAGAAGGCTTTATTAGCAACAAAGTCTTATATTTTCCAACAGGGAATAAATACCAATGTGTGAATGTATGTGAACACAAGAGCATTGAAAAGTTTGCGAAGTAATGCACAAAACCGCTCAGCTTCAAAGTTACGCGACTGCTGGAAACTTTTCACATACAAACTTTTGAACTCTCCAGCGAAATCAATTAGAATTCTGTTAACTGTGTCTCATCTACTTACATGCCACTACAATGTTTTATCAATGCGGTTATGTACATAAGTTAATGTTTTGCTGAAAACCTTTCAATTGCTGTTAATTAGTTTGGCTAATAAAACACAAGCATTTTATTAGCCACGCTCACACTAACTCTTGAAGTTACAAATTATTTTATTGTTATTGAATAAACTAACTAAGAATACTTGTTGTTATTCATTAGCCTAGCAATTAAGAGGCCTCTTCGATTCGCCACTTCTCTGCTCGCTATGTTTGAGCGCCGCTCCCCTATCGACCGTTGCGAAGGCATAAGCAACAACAAAGCTATACTCCTTAATTTCACACAAGAGAGTTTGCGGCGGCCAGACTAAAGTGTTATTGTGTGTGTGCAATATTTAACAGCTTGACAACCATAACGCGGTGTAAAAACATATATATCTTTATGGTAAAATAAACGAGCCACTTTGCAAAGGTTAATAATGAGGAAGTTCAAACAAGAAAAATGTGTTGAAAATCAGGAAGTTTAGTTACGAAAAACAAATTAAAACAGATGCATATTGATCTCTTGTATTTTACATATTTTGAAGGCGATCTGCCATGCTACGTGCCGCACACAAACCCCCCTCACCGACTGTGAGGCTCAACCGAGATAAACCAAGATGTTTGGCGCATTTGTAGGAATGTTATCAAGAATATATGCATTTTTTATCGCAAGTTCTACAACTGGCTACTCATTTACCGTTTAATGTTTACGCTAATTCGAAATCAAAGTTTTAGAAACTCGTTAGTTTGCCGTGTAAAGTCATTGGTATTCAAGTTCAAAGTTATAAATTCATTAAGCAAATTCGTCTTTTAATGATTTTCCGCTATGTGTTTTTATTTCTTTTATTTTTTGTGTTACGATTTCTGTTTTGTTTCATGAAATATACCGTTTGCTTTAAGCGACAATGTCTGAAGCACTGAACTTGGCCTTTATTCGCATATACATACATACATATGTATATGTATAATGCATAAATTCAAATCACACAAGCACAGCTGTTTACGTCTATGCATATGTTTGTATGTATGAGTCGAAGCATCTCTTAGGTCACAATTCGTTCGAAATTGCACAATATTTTATTCAACTCACGGCACAAATTGATTGTGCATGAATTTTTCATATTTAGCGATTGGCAAAATAAGTCCGTTTGATTTAATTTATGCATTTCGAGGAAGAAACACGACAACCCAACAACTTTCTCCGGTTGTGTTATGTTATGTATTCGCCTACGAACAGTATCCACAAGACAGTTGGCAAGGGAATGGCAATGTTTTGATTTCTTTTCAGTCTTTCGTCACTTTTGATTGCATAATTTCTCAGGCATTCCATTAAATTTAGCGTTGGTTTTTTCCACTCTCCAACAGCTGAGCGAAAATGAGCACTCCTAGATTAGCCGAAATCAGTGATTGCCGAACGCAAATCGAACTTGTTCACTATCTGTTTTCCAGAGTATGGATCCACAGTTGTAGAGTCTCATTAATCCCTCAAATAGTGCATATTAATCACTGAACCAGATGCGAATAAACTCGGAAGTGAAACTGTAACCATAAATCCGCATTTAGCGGCTGGCAAAGCGGCTCATTGCCAAGTCGGCTCGGACAGTTTAGTACTCACTTGTGCGCACGGAATATTCATAATATTTAATGTTTGTACTTTTATGTACGTTCTCCACCGAGTTTCCGCCGTAAGCAAATTAAATGTGTTGTAATAATAAAAAAAAATTAAAAAGAAAATTAGGAAACGCCCATTTAATTCAGTTTTAGTAGTTCGTTAAAAAGGTAGTACTTTAGTTACATTTTTATTTATTTTTGGTTTTCAATAGCATTTATCTGAGGGTGTTTTTGCTAATTTGAAAAGTAAACACATATTTTGCGCCCGAAATGACATTTGGTAAAGTCAACGCTTGAGCGCGCACGATATGCTGATTTGCTATCGCATATTTGATATTCACGATTGAACGCGTTTTTTGAAATATATGCATGTCTGTCGATAGAATCTCAATTCGGTTTAAATTTATTGTTCGTTACGTAAATTTTAAACCAAAAATCATAAAAGTTAGTAAAATAGCCAATATTTTAGCCATTTGGTGGTTGAACAGTTTTAGACAGACACAGCCACGGCGATAATAAAGGCAGGCACTCCCATGCGTTTATTTCCGGTCAGGATCTTACATGTTCGATTTTAAAGAGGTTCAAATATAAAAGCCATTTTGATTATTTCCAAGCTGAAGTGTATTATTCTAAAAAATTCTTTAAAGCCTTTCCTCAACTAAATTCTACGAACCTTCATAAGACCCCTCTCAATAAACAGACTGTAAAAAAGTAGTACTTATTGAAATTATTCGAGTATGTAAACCAGTAGGCTCTTATGCTGCCTGAAACTGTTTCCTTATACCATAACTTCCTCCAAAACTTTCCGCATTTTGTCTGGCACAAGTTCCAATCTATCCCGCATTATCTCGCCCATACATATATTATATTCCATTACATACCTACATACTTATCACGTTAACTGTATAGACAGACATTAGTCTTTAACTAGTTGAAAGCGTTTAGCTCATCATCATTCATTTGTTTGTTTTCACATCTATTTATTTGCTTTCATTGTTCACTCTTTTTTATTCAACTCACGGCACAAAATTTTTGTCACTTTTCGGCCAAATTTACATTGCTAACGTCATCTTACGAAGAGCACTAACATTTCATACAAAAAATGTCAAATTTGTCTTCTCTTTTACTCGCGCCGAGTTAGCAGCAGCGCGGCAGTCATTTCGTCGCAAAGTGGGGCCAATTGGAGATTCCAAACGAAGCCAGGTCCTTCTCCACCTGGTCCTTCCAACGGAGTAGAGGTCTTCTTCTTCCTCTGCTTCCCCGGCAGGTACTGCGTCGAATACTCTCAGAGCTGGAGTATATTCGTATATTCGGACGACATGACATAGCCAGCACAGCTGCTGTCCCTTAATTCGCTGAACTATGTCAATGTCGTCGTATATGTCGTACAGCTCATCGTTCCATGGAATGCGATACTCGCCGTTGCCAATGCGAAAATAACCATAAATACCAGAACCTTCCTCTCGAAAACCAGTAACGCCGACTCACCAAATGTTGTCGTAGTCCATGTCTCTGAGGACTTTATTTTTCAGTTGCCAAAGTTATGTCTATCAACAGTGAAGT